GAGGAGGTACCCCGGGGCCGTCTTCGCAGTCTGCAACGGTGTAGAATTTTTGAATACAGCTCAGACTCCCACCTCTCTGCGTCTCCTCTCCTGGGCCAAGGGAAAAAGACGAGGCCTCGTATGAGCGGTAGTGGGACTTTGGTGTTATAGGAACCAGTGGTCTTCAAAGATGTAGCTGTGTACTTCAGCCAGAAAGAATGGCAGCTAATGGATCCTGATCAGAGGGACCTGTACAGAGAGGTGATGCTGGAAAACTACGAGAACCTGATCTTTGTGGGTAAGGATAATCTCGCAGTTTGTTCCGGGTTCACGGGAGCTGGGGCGGTCTCCCTTCAGAGAGGCTGTGGTTCACAAGGATGAACCCTGCCACGGGGCTAAATTCAGACCCTGCAAATCGGGTGCTGTTGGCATCATCCGAAGACTGGTGCTTTCCAACAACGCTCCACTCCAGAAGCTCAGTTTTTAACTCATAAGCAGGGGGTGAAAAAAGATAGAATGTGTTGGGAACCAATGCCCCCCCCCCCCCCACTCATTCCTGATTCCTTAGCACCACAACTTGAGTCCAGGAGCACATTTAAGCCAACCCTGATGGCCAGTGGATCCAAGAATGGGCTCATTGACCGATACTCTAGGGGGCTCCGTTTCCTGGACTAACAGAAATTTGAGCCACTATGATTGGGAGGAGGGGCAGGGCAAGACTAAGGAGGCTAACAGCTTCCTGTGCCGGATGTCTGTTTTTGTTTGTTTGTTTTGTTTTGTTGTTAAAATCTCTTAGCTCTCTCCTGAGAGGCATGCAACGTGGTTTTTTTTTTTTCTTTCCTTGTTTTTCTTCTTCTGTGGAACAGAGTGTTATATTTTCAAGCCAAGGTTGATCACCAAGTTGGAGCAAGGCGTTGACCTTTTTACCAAAGACAGCGATGTCCCTGAAGAGCCTGGAGACTGCCAGCAAGGTGAGGCAGGTGTCAGCAGGAGTGAAGCCTCTGCAGGTGAGTTCAGAGGGACATTCTAACAGCTCTGGAAGCCATCATGGCTGTCCTCTGTCATGCTGGGGGTTGACAGGGTGACTGCAGAACTTGATTCGTTTGAGGGAAGCTGTGCCCTACTCCCAGCCACAGTGACACTGGTACTCTCTGGTTTAGTACTACACGTCTTCCTTGTCCTTGGGGGTGGCAGGTGATGCTAACGGCCTGCCTCTGGACTTTTCTCTTGGATCTCTTCCTCGAGTGACGATTCTGCGCTGTTTTTCAGTTATCCCGCCCACCAGAACATTTTACTTTTTATTTTTGAGTGTGTGAGTGCTGGAGAGAGTGTAGGCATGTGAGAGAAAGAGAGTGTGTGTGTGCGCACGCGTGTATGTGTTAGCGTGTGGGGGTTTGTGTGAGAGTGAATGAGTGTGCCTGAAAATGAGTGAGTGTGTGTGGGGGAGAGAGAATGAGTGTGTGGGAGAGAGAGTGTGTGTGTGAGAGAGAGGGCGTGTGTATGTGTGTGAGTGAGAGAGAGCATGTGTGTGAGTGTGTGTGAGAGAGGGTGTGTGTGAGTGTGTGTGTGAGAGAGAGCATGTGTGTGAGTGTGTGAGTGAGAGAGAGCATGTGTGTGAGTGTGTGTGAGAGAGAGCATGTGTGTGAGTGTGTGAGAGAGAGAGGGTGTGTGTGAGTGTGTGTGTGAGAGAGAGCGTGTGTGTGAGTGTGAGAGAGAGCGCATGTGTGTGAGTGTGTGTGAGAGAAAGAGGGTGTGTGTGAGTGAGAGAGAGCGTGTGTGTGAGTGTGAGAGAGAGCGCATGTGTGTGAGTGTGTGTGAGAGAAAGAGGGTGTGTGTGAGTGAGAGAGAGCGTGTGTGTGAGTGTGAGAGAGAGCGCATGTGTGTGAGTGTGTGTGAGAGAAAGAGGGTGTGTGTGAGTGAGAGAGAGCGTGTGTGTGAGTGTGAGAGAGAGCGCATGTGTGTGAGTGTGTGTGAGAGAAAGAGGGTGTGTGTGAGTGAGAGAGAGCGTGTGTGTGAGTGTGTGTGTGAGAGAGAGCATGTGTGTGAGTGTGTGTGAGAGAGGGTGTGTGTGTGAGTGTGAGAGAGAGAGCATGTGTGTGAGTGTGTGTGAGAGAAAGAGGGTGTGTGTGAGTGAGAGAGGGCGTGTGTATGTGTATGTGAGAGAGAGAGGGTGTGTGTGTGTGAGTGACAGAGGGTGTGTGTGTATGTGTATGAGTGAGAGAGAGGGTGCGTGTATGAGTGTGTGTGAGAGTGAGTGTGTGGAGGAGACTGGTTTCTACCTGACCGTAATCTTTTAAAATATCACTGCAAATTCACAGTCCTCTGTTGACTCGCCAAGAATAACAGTGCGTTTCTGAATCACATCATCGTCACCCACCACGATCTGAACTTCAAGAATATGTACAGATGGTTCTTGTTAAGACAGTAACTTAATGTATGCAACTGGGGTGAGGACGAGGCACTGTCTTGCTCTGTAGCCTAGCCTGGATTTGTTCTTGGAATCCCCCTGCTCATAAGTGCTGGGTTTATAAACACACTATGTCATACTCAGCTGTTAGATGCGTTTAGGGAGCATTCCGAGTTATAGTAAGTGGTGCTCATTACAAATAACGACCATGGGATGGTGAGGTGGCTCGGAGGGGAACGGTGCTTGCCTCCAAGACTGATGGCCTGAGTGCAGGCCCTGAGATGCACATTATGAAGGGAAAGGACTATCTATCAACAAGTCACCCTCTGACCTCCACAGCCACGGAGTGGCGTAGGCACGCCCACATCCACACTCAAATAATAAGTGTAACTTAAAAAACAACAACCCTGGCACACAGCTTTAATCCCAGCACTCCGGCGGGAGGCAGAGGCGGGGGGGGGGC